CCCCCAGCCATTCGCTTCCCGGTTTCCGCCTGCCTATAGGGTCTTATCTCAGGGAAAATGGATAAAGAGGAGGGGGTTGCTCGTGCGAGAGGAAGATGAACGACGTGGAAGAATCACAGAGGGCGGTTGGGTTGGGTGTAGTAAGAATAAGGGAGATGCGGAATGAACAGAGATCATGCATTAAGGGGCTTCGTTGGGTCGCTTTTATTTCATTTTATGTATATTTATTTCTCTGTGGGCGTGGGTGTCCCCCTGGGATCGGATTAATGGGGCCTTTCAGATTGCGTGGCTGGACGATGTTTGTCGCGCTCTCTGTATCCTGAGGATGTCCGCGCGAGACAAACTTGGACACGCGAAGCGGGTTTTCGACTCAGGAACGGTTTCGTGTGTCGATTTAGTCGGGGAATTAAAGGTGAAATGTAGGTTTAAAAAAAAAAAAAAAAAGCCACGGAAACTGCGCACGAATAATGCGTCCGAGGTTTATAGGAGAAGAAATGGTCTGCATGGATGACGAGGAGTTTCTGATGGTATATTATCTCGAAGATGGGTTCTTCGCCGTGGAAACCTAACGAGGTTCTGTTTTACGAGTTTAATATATTGTGCATATATTTTTTGGAATCTCGGAATAGCGCATTTGCGCAGTAATTTTGCCCGCAGAAGAAAAATTTGTTGTAAAAATAAAATAACTTGTGATGAGCTTCTATCTCTGGAATTTGTTGGATCAATGTTGTTGCTTGGTCATACTGTGCTGAAGTTTGTAGTAATTCCGATCGGATTAATTTTTATTCTGGTTTTTAGAGAGAGAGACTTCCGTGTGTCATGCATCTGGTTCACCTGTTTTTAAAAAGTCCCGTTGAAATGTTTACAAGCACGGTATCTGCATCCGAAAAACTCGAAACTTTACTCTCAGTAAAGTAAGAAATTAAAATTAAACACGGTACAATAGCCCCTTCCCCCCCGACAAGAGTATAAGCGACAGTGAAGGCAGACAGACAAGCCTACTACTTCACCAATAAGTTTTCTTTCTGTAAAATCCCATTTACAAAGACTTGAGATTATACATTGACGTCATCTTCGCTTCTTCACGTCGTTAACCGTTTTAGTCCTTTTTTTCTCTCACTGAAGGCAGCTTTTCTTTCGGTCATTAAAATTTGAAAAGGTCGAAACTCGAAAGTCGTAATGAAAAAAGTTCTTGACATGCTTTCGCGTCCTCGGTTTTTGGAACGCCATCTTTGGAAATGTTGAGAGAGCTTTATTTCCCAGGGTTTGTGTCGTGGAGCTTTCCATTTATCTCATACGACTACTAGTCTTGATTTTTGTCGCTATCTCGACTATTCTGCGAAATGAAGCACTCTAAATTCGCATTTTTCTTCATCGGAACGCAGTCAGGCTTGCGAATATATATATTTTTTCATTGGTTTCGAGGGCCAGTTCAGAAGTTTTGTCAGTAACATGAAAGAATTCCACAGATAAGCAAAATGAAAAAAAAAACACTTTTCTTCATATCGACGCTTCAGTCAACCTTCGTTTAGTGTTTTTCAATTTTTGATGTTGAACGTCGTTCGTCTCCAAATGATGTGGAGCGAAAGACTGCCAAAGCTTACGAACCAGTCCTAGGACTTGTTCTTTGAAAGAAGAACGGATTTCTTGCAATTCTTGCTTCATTTCGTGGAGGCTGCAAAGAAATCGAAGTTGAACAATCAATTTTTGTGTAAGCGCTTATTTTCGTACTGACTTGACGTTTTGCTTGAAATCTTGAAACTTTGGGAGTGTATTCTTTGACATTAAATGAAAACCATGGCTTCAATCATCGTGATTTTTCAGCTTATTTGTATTTGGATCTGGAATTATGTTTGTATTAGGATTGAATGTCAAAGACACATTTTTAAGCGTTACGGTAGTTTCTTTGCCTTGGTATGACATTTTTTTTCACAAATTTATGAAGCACCGTAATTATTTCACTTCCAGGGAATAATGCGCTAAAAATAAATTTTGAAGAAAATGTCTTTCAAGGTTTTGTCTAGTGCTTCAAAAGCATATAAATAAGTTAATTTATCATTCAAATTGCCATTCTTCCCACATTTTTTCGAAAATGTCCACTTCCTTGAGCGGGAGATGCTTTTAACAATTGATTGAAAAGAATTGTCGCATTTTGAAAAATTGCCGCTGTGCGAATTGTCCAGTAATCTGGGTTCTTTCAAGCTCATTTAATTCATAATACAGTACTTTTTGTTCAATAAACGATTCTAATTGGAGATTTGTTGGCTGTAATCATGATTTAGTCTTCTCGAGTCATCTTGAAACTAATAAACTAAGTCAAGTTGCTGGAAAAGTTAAGTACCTTTAATGGCTCGGCGTGACTAAGCTCCTCTAAGAAAGCCAGCATTCCAGAGTCCTTGAGCAACCTTTACGCTAGTTCATGTAAAATCTCCGAATGCATGTAAAATATTGCACAATATCCCGCGGGAAAATGGATTCGAACGTCGCAAATGTGCCTCGTAATTCTCAGTCCGATCTTCTCTTTTGTGCTTCTCGAAATTATGCCAAAACAAAAATTGATGAAGAAAAAAAAAAAAGGGACTCATTCGAACTAACTCTCGTATTTCTCACTCGTGATTATTAGTTTGTTTCTTCCATTCCCACAGAAACTGACAAGGAATACTACGACCTCGTTTTGGAAACTGCCGAGCGTTATCTCACCGCGGGTCGCGTCCGGTTGCTCAAGTTTGCCCTGTCGCTGCGCTATTATTCGCCTCGGATCGAGATGTTTCGCCAAATTGCAGCTGATCGCGGCGTGCCGAAAAATTNCACATTTTTAAGCGTTACGGTAGTTTCTTTGCCTTGGTATGACATTTTTTTTCACAAATTTATGAAGCACCGTAATTATTTCACTTCCAGGGAATAATGCGCTAAAAATAAATTTTGAAGAAAATGTCTTTCAAGGTTTTGTCTAGTGCTTCAAAAGCATATAAATAAGTTAATTTATCATTCAAATTGCCATTCTTCCCACATTTTTTCGAAAATGTCCACTTCCTTGAGCGGGAGATGCTTTTAACAATTGATTGAAAAGAATTGTCGCATTTTGAAAAATTGCCGCTGTGCGAATTGTCCAGTAATCTGGGTTCTTTCAAGCTCATTTAATTCATAATACAGTACTTTTTGTTCAATAAACGATTCTAATTGGAGATTTGTTGGCTGTAATCATGATTTAGTCTTCTCGAGTCATGAACTTTGATTATTTGATTCAGTTCAACGACCTTTTCAATTCATGGAAATTACCGAGCCGCACTGATTCGAGGAGATTCTTTCGGTCGTAAGGTCTCAGGAACTCGTTGGAAATGCGATCAAGTACAGAAGTCTCCGAATGCATGTAAAATATTGTACAATATCCCGCGGGAAAATGGATTCGAACGTCGCAAATGTGCCTCGTAAATCTCAGCCCGATCTTCTCTTTTGTGCTTCTCGAAATTATGCCAAAACAAAAATTGATGAAGCAAAAAAAAAGGGACTCATTCGAACTAACTCTCGTATTTCTCACTCGTGATTATTAGTTTGTTTCTTCCATTCCCACAGAAACTGACAAGGAATACTACGACCTCGTTTTGGAGACTGCCGAGCGTTATCTCACCGCGGGTCGCGTCCGGTTGCTCAAGTTTGCCCTGTCGCTGCGCTATTATTCGCCTCGGATCGAGATGTTTCGCCAAATTGCAGCTGATCGCGGCGTGCCGAAAAATTGCGCAGCCGTCGTCGAGATCAATGGGGTAATGACTTGCAATCCTGGGGATATTGACAGGCTCGTCACGTCGGCCACGTCGGGTTCCGCGGCCGAAGTATTGCAGGTGAGCGATGAGCTTGATTGCCCGCCGGGCTAATTGGATAATTCCTGCATCGCCCGCGGGTCTTATCTGGTTTTAAATTTTTTTCGGGTTTCTTTTTTTTGTTTTCTTGTTGCAGAATCTATTGGAAAATGATGATTTGATCAACTTTCGTTTTTAACCCACGTCCGACCAGCTGGTTGTAATTTTTTTTTATAGAATAAGTTTGTTACTGTATTCCGCGAAAAGCGGATACGAAGAGAAAAATATGATACCGAAAGATTGTCTGTTCCCTAGAATTACGGTTCAGGACACTGTTTCTTGGTCGAGTAGATTACAGTAGATGTTCTTCTTCGAAGATTTTTCTTTTATTCAAAATGTTTTCATCTCCTTTGTCGAGATATGATGAATAATGAAAATATTTCCTCTACAATTTTTCTACATGATGCATATTTTACTGAACTTCCGTGATGACGATTGATTAAAAATTTTCACAGTTTGTAGCCCTTGATTAACCATTTGCAATTTGCATTGGATCAACCCGAACTGGTTCGATCCTTGTGAAGCCTGAAAATAAATATGTTTTTTAACGCTGGAAAAATGGCTGAGGCATGGAAATTTACTGTCTTCCTGAATTGCATCATGAATGAATTTTCGGGGTTCTGAGAAAGTGATCAACGCAACACTGCCAGTTTCTCTGTCGCGAACAGCTGGTGTGGTTTTTTTTCAATATATTTTTTTCAATGTGTACAGTATTATGATACAGTATTTATTATTTCGATATTGATAACCACCGAATGATTTTTCCCCTTGCGTACTTGGAAATTTCAGCGTTATTGTTACACTATTCCTTCAAATATCCTCGAGACGTCTCACATTTCCACCTCATCTCACCGATTTCAGCGAGCAAATCATCGGGAATCGGGATGCTAATAATTTGCTCCAGTTTTTCTGTTGAATTATTCGCTGAATTCCTCCCTCAGCTGCTTTAAACTTGACTCATGGATGCCTAATTACACGTTTGATATGAATTTCATGCGTTTAATGAATCCTTCTGAATACGAATTGACGTATTTATTACAGAACCCTCATGTCAGGGACAGCATTCTTGATTCCACGTTTTGCATTTTCACAGCACATTATATTGAAGCCGTATTCTTGATAGTGGGTGTTGTGAAAATAACAACAAAAACTTTTGGCATTTGAAATGCACATGTACCTAGATACCTAACCTGACTGCTACTAATTTTCGTACAATATTGTAAAAAACATTTTCCAAGTAATCTCCTGCACTTTTTGAAAAAATTTCGGTCTTGTAAAATCTAATTTTTTTGCGGAGAAATCTTCTCTAGCTTTTGGCTCCAAAGTCATGCAGATTTTTTTCTTTCTGATGCATGTTGAAAATTCTGTGAATGAGTCTTTCGTGTGAATGAAGTTATTTGAGAAAAAAACAAAATGAATAAACAGAAGCATTCCTTGTCTTCTTGTGTGTGTGTCGCAGATGGACCACAGGCATCCAGAAAGTGACGCTTCGTCGACAACGAGAGCTGTGCTGTACGCGGAGCCGGGTTCCGTCGGGTTCCAAGCATTCCATGACCAGCTGGGCTCGCTGGCAACGCAACGACACGTGGACTACATTTTCCGGCCCTTTGTTCGGGTGAGTTATATCTTTTTTCTCTCTCTCTCTCTCTTTCAAATGCATTTTTAGTCGTGATTTATTTATTTATTTTTGTGTGCTTCCTGCCTCCTTCCCCTGTTATCCTATGTAATCTTTTACTGCGTCTCTGTCAGAATCCGTTTCAGTCATCCGACTTTATTTTCGAAGGCAAGTGCATCTATAAACCTGAGAAGAAATTTCGAAACGAATCGGAAACCACTGCTGCTAAAAGCATAGCATTTTTCAGGAAATCGATTACTGTATTGTTTTATTTATTTTTTTCTTCTCTTGAGAATTAAAGAAAGAATGGAATGGGCATTTTGAAAATGGGTCCGCATAAAAATGGGTGGATGTTCTGATGGACTCAGCGTGGGCTCGAAAATTCGAAATCAAAAGTGGACGGAATTTTCCTCAATTCCCGCGAAGTTTTCGGATGTAAATTGCATCCCATGTAATTGCTTTTCCCAATTGAAGAAAGGAAAAATTATCGAACCAATTTTTTTCGTAAGTTTTTTTTTCTATTCTGAGATCAGTGAACAGAAGAAAGCTGTCTTCTGTTGGACTTCCTTTGGTGTAAAAATTATAAAATCGAGAATAAACTAATTTTTTTTATTGTCTATACATTTCGAATGTCCAGTCCTGTATTATGTATTCTTTACTTTTTTTACGATTTCCATCGAGGAGATTATAGACTGATTGGAGGAATACATTTTTATTCGTTTGGGTGAAACTGATAAGGAGTTGAGATATAAATATGTGCCTGCGATAACCTTTTTTGCGCTTCTGCTTGGGTCAAATAAATTTGAAATTCAATTTTGAGCACAATCTTGCTTTGACTTCGAAGAACCGTTGGCTGAATGTTATGCGAAGTACTGCACAGTACTGGTTTTGATGTTCCTGCTTCCATGTAATTTTTCGTCCTTTTGATTGTGGGCTGGATGAAAAATTTAATTTTAGATTTTAAATTAAACTGGGGGACATTTTGGAAATGAATTCACGAATTGTGCATGTGTCGATGAATGTGAATTCAACTGCCAAAAACTGAAGCAGCTGAGGCAACAGAGAACAGGATATTGCTGTTGATTTTGCTGTCGCCTTTTCTGTTGATGAATGCTCACGCTTTTCAATTCATTTTTGCGATCATGGACTAAACAAAGATTTGAGTTCAGACGTAAAAAATGCATTTCACGGATTAACGAGACATGGGAGATTAGATCTGAATCTGGCGTGGATTAGAAAAATTCCAATGCGCCAGTGAACGGTAGATTGCTTCGAATTTTTAATGAAGTTCGGATGAATCTTGGAATAATTTCCTCGCGTTCAACCCTTCTTTACTGACAGTAATTATGGACTGAGCCATGCCTTCGGTTTTTAAAACCAACGAAGCGGAAATTCAAGGAAGAAATTTCCCCATAAACCTAAAAATTTCGTCATCAATATACATGAAGAAAAATCGCATCATTTTTTTTGCGTAAATGCCATTATCTTGGCGAGGCTTAAAAACCGAATCAGTGTTTGTTCGATTTCGCGCGGAGAAAATATACGGATGAGTTCGCGAGAAATGCGTAATCGCGAAGGAACGTTAATCCTGGTATTTATTTTCTTTACGATTAACATGGGTTTGAGTATACGATACCGGGTGACTCAAGCGCTTTTAGAATCTGAGTAATTCGAATGTTTCATGGAGTTCTTCAACATGCAATTAATGTATACTATACAAGTATACAGGATAAACTTCGAAGTTGGATTCAGCCGTTTGGAAGAAAGGTGGATGCCAGAGTCAATCAAAAATTGTGTTCGTTGGAGGAAAGGGACGTGAGTAAGAAAAAAACTCTCTTTATTAAAATTGACGTACCTTCCTTCGACATGAATTTTATAACTAATTGTTCAAAACTTCCCGAAAGATTTAATTTTTTTTGTGTAACAACGTACGATTCACCTTGTATTTTAAATAAATTATCCGCTTTAATTTCTAGTATGGAAGATGACGCTTTGCTTGACGGTCTGGACGAGAAGCTGGTTCTTCCTGCGATTTTTCGCCAGAATTTTTGTGAAGTCTCATTTCAGCAAGGATTCAATAGAGATTCGCAATTGAAGATTATGCTGTCGGGTTATCCTCGAGCTTCATGAAAATGCGCTGTATTTTTTTTTACCCTTTGTTCTACTTTCCTTAAAAAAAAACGTTTTACCTCAGCTGTGGCTTTCACAGTCAGATGGTAGTGGATTAGAATCCTGAGGTGGCGTGAGAAGAGTCATGCGATATGTCGTGAGAAATGTTGCACATCGTTTGGTCGAAGCGCTTTGCGAGAGATCGAAGGAAATCCTCAGGTTTCTTTCATATTTTATTTCTTGACTCTCCCGGTATGAAACGGAGAACACTATATTTTATTATTACAGTATTATTATTTGAATGCTGGGAAAGGACGTGTCACTCAGCTGGAAACGTAATGCCTCTTCGTGTGACTGCGATGTGTAGGCGTTGGTGTTCGTTGCTCAACTGCTGAACTGACTCAATGGCATAAGCTTTGCTTATATATAATGCATAATTTTTTCACGCTTTCCTTTGAATGGTCCGGAATATGCGAAACATTGTTAGATGGAGTCATGAGAAAAAAGAATCGGACCCTTCTTTCACAGTTTCATGAAGAATTTTCCTCAGGATCGTATCTCAGTTCCTCTTTCACGGGTTTTTTTTCTTGAACCTCTGTCGGTAAAATTGTGGTTAACGTGCCGAAAAGTATATTGTCTTCAAAATGAAAGTTTAAAATATGTACAAATTCAGAGAAGAAATGTCAGAGAAAAGTGTCTTTGTGAAAAAGGCGCTGAAAAGTTTCTTTTTCTATCATGTTTTCAATTAAAACGAGTCGTTTGAGAATATTTGTGAGGAAAGTAACCTAACCAAAACCCGCCAATATCTAATACATATTCAAGTCCTCTTTCTTGCTTGCGCTGTTCATTATTTCTGCTATTTTTGGTACGCTGTATTTTTGGCATACATCGTTCTTGGAAGTTGTGTTCTAAACTGCTCTCAATTATTGATCCACATTTTCAATGACAGTAGTGAACAGAATATTAAATGGGCGGTGATCAGAATTCTTTTAAACCTTTTTTTCATTCATGTTTTCGTTTTTCGGAATCATTGACCCAATTTATAAAAGAAGCTAGAAATGTGTCCCGAAAAAACTCGAGCAATTTACCTTTCTCGTTGGAAGATTCGTTTGAAATATTCCGCGGAATTATTCCACTGTTGGATCTATCTCACCGTTTTTGTCCATTATGAATGATTCGAATCTCATTTAGTTGGGTAAAGCATAGTATTCCTGTTTCTTTCTTCTTTTTTTTTTTTGTTCCGGAAAATCGCCTTTTAGCCAGCTGGAAGAAATACGTGCACTAATGCTTCTTTATCTGAGGCTTTTAGTTTGATCTCTCTGACCTGGTCGAGCTTTCGAGCTGTTTGTCCAATTTCCTTTGACGGAGGCAAGGAAAAAATGCGCCGTATATTCTCCGCAATATTTGAGCCCTAGAAACCATTGAAGAAGGGATTGGGAACTTTTCTGGATTGCGTCGCAGTTTATCTGTCCATGGTCGTTTTCGTACCTGAAAACAAGATAGTGTATGATTTTAGCGAGGATTCCACAAGATAGTGTATGATTTTAGCGAGGATTCCGCTTTCATTTACACAATATTATTCGCTTCGAAAAATTCGCTGGTAAAGCCGGGTTTTATCGCGTGTGTTCGTTTTTTTTTAATGCTTTAGTTCCTTGCTGAGGTTTGGTACTTTAATTTTTATTTGTCCCAACAAATTCAGAACGGTGGGCCATCTTTTTTTTTTAAGTCGGAAAAGAAGTGCACGAACTGTCCCGAAAAATTTCGAAGCATGTAGAAACCCTCGCCTTACGAGGTGCGAGGTCAAGTGAACGCCCAGTCCAACTCAGCGATATCAAACTGACCAATTTTATTACCGTTCTTTTTTTTTTTCATCAGACAGATATGAAAAATGTTTTTAACGCACACTTTTACATGGGCAATCTTTTCTTTAATGGAAGTTGATGTTGTTTTATAACCCGTTTTAGAGGTTGAGAAACGTTCGTTGTGAGTGTATGGCAATGAAACTCTTATACTGTACTGTACTGCGATATTGTACTGTACTGTACCAAGGAAATCAAGTAATTCATCGGGATTCGAGGATTTGAATGAGGAGAGTTTGAAAAGTGAAATGAAGTCTTGTTTATGCCAATTCGAAATATTCTACGTTTTCTGCGGAGATGCTCTTTATTTGAATACCGGAGTTTTTTTTAGCTGAAATTTCGCGGCTTCTGATGAGGTGTAAAAATTTCCTCTGCTCGTGCAAATCTGTGATTTTCCTTCCATACTAACTCACTAGAGTTTTATTAATAAAATTGTGCAATTATTATTATTAAAATTTAAGGCAGCCTTGTTTGCGAACTGACGAATAATTGTACCATACCGACGTGGACAAGCAAATCGAATAACCTTAAAGTTTCACGTAACGTTTAGTTTTGCTGCCACGTCTTCATGAAATTTGAATCAAATTTCCCTCGAGGTTATTCCGTAGTTGAAAGTTTTGCTTCGTCGAACAAAAGCCGATTTTACGCGAGGATTTCTCGTCCCTTTTTTTTCCCCGACAGAAAATCGCGCGTAAAAGCGATGTTTTCCTTCTCGCTCTCTTTCTGTTGCTCTCATTTCTCATCCTTGTATTGACCCGGCGACGGAAATTTGCATTGAGAATCAGAAAATAAATAAATAAAAAGCAGACATTGCTGAAGGAAATCGGGCTTTGAGCAAGTCCCGAAATTACGTGGAGTGGGTATAAAAGTGAAATCGGGGTACGGCACTGTACTGTACACCGTTTGGCGAGGGGTAGCTATAGCCAGTATAGCGTCTCCCGTCGCACTCGACGTCTGCGTCAATATTTGCGCGGTGACGTCGATCAACTTGGGCCGGATGTCGCCTTGTCGAGCGGTTGATTCAAGATTACA